ACACATGGTCAAGTTGCCGGGGGCGCGGTCCCCGTCGCAGATCTCGCACAGCACCCGGTTGTTTGGCAGGTCGAAAATACCGTACAAGAAACAGACGAGGCCGGCGACGCTCGGAAAGATCAGCATCTGCGTGTAGAAGCCGAGCCAGGCGAAGTAGAACGCCACCTTCTCGCCGAAGTACGCCCGGATCAGGTGCAGCGGTTGTGGCTTGAAGGTGCGGGCGAAATTCGCCCACGTGTGCTTCAACACCTGCCGCTGGCACCACTGGCCAGGCTCGCCCTCGTTCAGGTGCTGCCAGTCGACCGGGCCGTCATGAGGGGGGTAGGCGTTCTTGTAGGCGCCGCTTTTCAGCAGCCACTGGATGCCGTGCTTCATCCTCTTGTCCGGATCGCATTTCGTTCTGTTCAAAATGTCGTATACGATTCGAATGCGTTGTGTCGGAGAGAAGAACGTGTGCTTGTCGTCCACTCGAAACTTCTCCACCCGGCTGCGGGTGAAAGGGGCCGTCACGTACACCGTCTGATGGCCGATCAGCACGTTTTCTTGATCGCTGAGATGAAACATGGACGGCAGGTACCTTCCGCCATTCTGTTCGCTGGTCGCGTTGTAACAGTAGCCATGGCGAATGGGCATCTTCATCTGTAACATTTCGGCACGGCGAGACAACGTTGTCCACGGAGCGTGGATCTTCAGAAAGCACAGTCTGTTCGCCTCCTCGACGTCCAGCTCCAACACTAAGCCCTCGTCCAGCAAGTTCATCTCGAAGAACTGTCTCTGTTTTCGCAAGTGCTCCGAGTCGTCTTTCGTGTAAACAAGCACAAAGTCCACTTGACTCCTTCCGTCGTTCAGTCGCACTTCCGTGTAGTCGTTCAGCACCTTCGGTACGCCTGTGGTTGTCGGCTTTATCGTAGCACCGCAGTCGGAAGTAAGGATTCGTGCGGAAGTCGCAGGGGCTGACACTATGATTGCTGACGGCACGCTGTTCTGCAGTTGGCCATCTGCGACGACGTTGGGGTGAGACAAGGACACGGCTGCTTGTGGCAACCGAACACTCGGTGGGTCCGCAGACACATCGATGCTGGACGAGTGGTTTGCAGTGGTGTTGCTCATGAAGAAGAACCGAAGAGCGGATGGCGCGATTGTCCCCGTAACCGGTGGATGAGGTAGCGGCAACGTGGGAAACGCAAACGCACAGATCAACGATCGGTTGTTTCATACATGTTGTTCACGTATGGACGAACAGATTCAGGAGAAACGCGACCGGCGACCGCAGTCCATGAGCAGGGGGCATCGATGGCAAGGACAGTAGTAAATGCTAAAAGAAAGAACGGGCAACGGAGGAAGATACCTCCGCCGCCGTCGCTGCCGCCACCGCTTCGCAAAAATGTCCGACAGCCATTAGCGACGTCATTCCCTGACAAACCGATTGAAAAATGTGTTTGGGCTGAGAGGCATGCTCACTCAAAATCGATTCCACCGCCTTCTGATGATCCACCGTTTCATCCGCTGTTCAGGCGCAGTCCCTTTGCGCTCGTTTTCGTTCCCGACATGACCACGACCAGGGCTACCGGCGACGATGATCGACCAGTGACAAGCTTCGCCTGAAACAACATATACACTATGCCAGTGAACGTGAATCGCATAGTAAAGCACTCTGGCGCACGTGTCCGAGCTCGCGATCCTCGGCTCTGTGCCTCAACGAGAGTCGATCGATGGTCGCTGCGACAACTGACCATTCGCCGGCCGTTTCGACACCCTCAGAACGGCCGAAACACAAATACTAGATACCCATATCTTCACTCAAGCATTCACCTGCCAATCATGGAGGTAGACGGACGAAGTGTGAACCTCATTGTCGTCGCCAAATGAGCTGCAGCGAATATGTTTGGCAGCATATTTGTGAAATGTCTGTTTTTGCAGGTCCTCATGGTGATCGAATGCGCTTTCCGTCAAGTAAGTAGTTAAGCAAGGCATGCAGACGGAAGCATAAGTTTCTATTAAAATTAACACTGGCCAAAATCCTGACCTTTATCCTATGGCTTCCATCATCAACGTGCTTGTGACTTACACATTCTGAGCGCATACAGAATGTCAAGCGACGACGAAACGACCAATGCCAAAAATAATCAAGAGAGAGCTGGACGTCCCCCGATGGTCCACTCCACCTGTTGCACTGCCGGACAGAAACCATTTGAAACGTTACTGTAATCGGAGGATCGCTGAGGAATGGTGCAAACGGTTTATCTGCGACGACTCGGCCAGATCGGCTCTTGACTTCTAGCTTGCCGTGCCGTTGCCGTCGCCGTTGCCGTTGCTAGACGCACGACGAACCGGTGTTGCTGCCTGCCGGATGTGCTTCTCGAGGCAGGTGATTGATGGGCAGAAAGCTGACTAACTTCGCAGTATAACCAGCCACTTTCGGCGGTGAAAAACCTCGTTTACTTGATCGTAATTATTGCGCTTTCGATATGATGTCGAATGTCGAATAAGCGTCATTCAGGTGTCTCTGTTGCAATGTCATCGTTAGTTGACCAGTGACAAGTGGTCAGATCAGGAGCAGTTGACCGGAAGAACTGATGGTCCAGCACCACCTCCGGCACCTGATGTTCTGCTGCACGCAGGCTGTCGTCGAGCAAACTTTTGACCGATGGTCATCTGCTTGTTCTGCTGTCAGCTGGGCGCTGCGCACGCAGCCGAATCAGA